AAAGATAGAAAGAAGTTGACCCATAGGCGTCGCTTTGCAACCACATATCCCAGGGCTTCTGCAAAAGCTACACATCAAATTACTATTGTGTAGTCTTTCTTGCTCAACTTAAAAGATAAGATCATCACCACTCTCCGTGAGGTACAAAAAGAATATTGAAGAGATGAATATCTTCTAGTGTGCGTGATGCTCTATCTATATGACATCCAACCAAAGGGAAATGAAATCTTAACATCCTAAGGAGAACTGAGATTCTGAAAACACTAAAATGTAGTTCTCAAGTTAAATAAGACTCTGAAGCGTTCTTAAATATTTTCTTATCATCGATGTACATATTAGGACAACAGTATCAGTACTAACTCCAGACAGACACACAAGTCCAGTGGCTATCAGTCATCCTGGTGAATACAGCCCTGGGAACAAACAGGAAACCATAGAATTTTCTAAACAACAGAGGATGCTTTACATCATTGTCTGTTGGTATTATTTTGTGCCTCAATTCAAGCACGAGTACACACATATACTCAATCCTCTTTGGTTCTCTTTGTATCATCAGGTACATATTGCTTCCAATGCTAGTGTGTGTGTAAGACCCCTCACATGCTCAGAGCAGAGACCCCTGGGGGGATTAGGGAACTTAGAAGACTTAAGCAGATCCTCTGTCCACTGAGAGAATGTTCTTTAAAGCTAGAGAATATTTGTCCCTAAGCCATTCTGAAAGAAATTACAGATAAATACATTAACATAAATACATTAACATATACAGATAAATACATTAACATATACAGAAGCCCAAGTACTGAGAAGAACCATTTTTATTACTTTGGGAATAGTTGGTTTTATCTAAGATGGAGTGAAATTATAAATTAGGAATGCAAATATATGTCTGAATATATGCACAGGTACATACATGTCCAAAACCACAAAATAGCATCTCATCTTTGTCACTCAAACTTCAATTATTAGAATAAATGTTTGCTCTTACTAGGTGCCCATGGCTCATGTCATAATCCTAACTATTCAAGAGGCAGAGATCTTGAGGATCTTAGTTCAGAAGCCAGCCTGGGCAGGAAAGTATATGATATTCTTACATCCAATTAATAACCTAAAAGGCCAGAAGTGTAGAAGTGGCTCAAATGGTAGAGTACTAGCCTTGAGCTAAAAGGCTCAGGAATAGTGCCCAAGCCCTGAGTTCATCTCCAGGTCTGTTACAAATTAAATGCATACATACATTCATAAATGCAGACATAAAATTGTTTTGCCTAAATTGTTAAATTAATAATACATTATTCTCCAGATACCACACCAAACTTTCATCACTTTTCATGGCTTCATCTCATTCAAGGGAGTTAACCCTCACCCCACCTCCACCCTACAAGTGTGACCTGATTTTGCCACCTGATTTTAAGTGACAAGATACAGAATCAGAAAGAAGCTTCACATCTTCTAAGTCACAATATTTTTCTGGTACTAGATTGACTCCATGTCCTAAATGTGATAGTACCTACTCTGCTATTTCTATGCCTAAATAATTAAATATACCCAAATATCCATGTACAAATAAATCCTAGGCACATTCCCAAATCTCTTGATTCTGATGTCATTTCCTGTTACGGTGACACTCCATCTTTCATCAAAGATTGAGTCCAGGAGAAACCCCAGGGTTCCAGGAAGAAGATCCCAGGCCTCTAGCTAGCAAAGTTTTCCACAAGACATTTTGGTCAGAAAGCAGAATAAATGAGACTGTCCAGACCACCATAGCAAGTCTTATTGTGGGAACTGAAGAACTAGATTGCATGGGCTTCTAGGATCCTATGAGAAATTAATCACACAAATCAATTCCATGGAAGACATATCAGAGAAGATAGTCTCAGAGAGGCTTAACTACAGGGAGGACTTTTAAGCAGAGTCTCTTATTTTTCCCTTCCTTGCACTTTATATTGTTTTGAGCCCATATTGGAACCCACACCTCCCATCCTTTAACCTGTCTTGTCCCTTGCTGCACCTGTCCTTTGTTGTGTCTCCTAGAACAAGTACCCCTCTCTCTTAAAGAAATCTCCAATCTGTTTAATTCTGCACCACCAATGTTTGATCAGCTTAGGATTGATTCTTTACACTAGTAAAATCCACTGTTTTATTGTGTTCATTTTTTCCATCATTTACTGCCTGTTATTTGATTCCAAATGAAATATTGAAAATTGAAAATCTAGTGTAGTTGCCTGGGAAAAGAATTGTACTCCTGGGTGACAGACTTAGTCAGTAACTAAAGCCTGCTCCTCAACCTGAGCCCTCTGGCTGGCATGAAGGATGCCTGTCTTGTCTTAGCAGAGTCCTCACAGCTGGCCTTTGGGTGTGCCCTGGACTTCCCTTCTTGCTTTTAACCACATCATTCTGGCGCCAAATGCCTTCTGCTGTGTCTGAGCAGAGCACCTGTTTAGTCTGACTCACTCTATCAGCACGGACTCTCCCTCCTCTGACAGTAGAGCAGACCTCACACAGACATGCGTGTGACTCGTTAGCACGAGGCTCTGTGTAATGGAATGCCCCGTGTACAATACTGCTCCTTACAAGAGAAGGAAGGGATTCTTACCCCAGATATCCATCAAGGGAGATCAGCTGAACTATATCTCTGTGATCCAAACTCAGAGGTGGGTTTTTGTTTTTGAAGCTTAGAAAATCACTGCTAAACATTTTAATGGATTCTTTTTGAAAAACCACATTTCAACAAGTTACCTTGTTATAACTATCAAATAAATAAAAGCCAACTATACCAAGTAGACACTACTGAGTAAGAGAGAGAGAGAGAGAGAGAGAGACGCCCACAGTAAATTGTGTTTTCTCTGTGATATTTTTATCTCTAATGAAATGTGTGTTTTGCAGGAAGTGAGGTGGAAAGGGCAAGAAGAAATCCTGTCCCAATAAAACAGGTGTTCAAATCTAAGCAAATGCTCACACACACACACACACACACACACACACACACACACAAAATCCAGCAAGCTCACAACTCTGGCTCTGATGTCTCCTCCAGGTTATACAGCTTGTGGAGACAGCCAGTATACATTCAGATTTTCCTCTCTCCTGCAATATAGTGCCCCTACATAAGGATTCATGTGAATTCCTGTGTCTGACATTTAAATCAGTGACTGATGGAAAGAAATGAGGAATCAATGTCTGAGTATGTTTTGGAGGAGGTATACTCTCAAAGACTTCCTGAGTCTTTGAGACACACACACACACACACACACACACACACACACACATTTTCTCTGCTCAAGATTACAAAGCTATGCGCTCTAACAATGCATTTTTCTTTTACAAGTCTTGACATCACCACTGTTATTTTCTTTCTTTATTCTCCCAGCACCTGTTAGAAACAAGAGTAGGGTGGTCTTTGGGGGAATTTTTCTAAAGAGCAAGAGGCTGTAAAAGTGTGAAATGCACACAGGTGCTTGAATTCTGTAGAATTTTAGCTTTAAAATGAGCCACCTTAACAGATCTCTGCAGTCATGTCATTCAATGGATATATGTGAGAATGGAACTAAATTGAGGCGATGGGTGGATTTGGAAGAGGTGGGGAGGAATGATGGAAAGGGTGACATTAACCAAGGCACACTGCACTCTTACACTGACAAGGTGAATTGAAGCCCCTTTGTACAAGGACCTAAAGATAATAAAAGTGTAAAAATAAAAGAGACTATGTACAAATTCCTAGTGTTTGTATGGTTACTGCAATATCTGTTTAAACCTTTAAGCAAGTATTACTCCCAAAAGAATCCTTTTATTTTTAATTTAATACAGGAAACTGGAAGATGTGAGAGGGATTTTGATGGCTTTCTACTGAAGGAAACAGCACCAATTCGCAAAGACACTATTTTAAAAGAATGAGGGCAGGTGCCTGTGCCAAGTGTCTGTAATCTTAGCTCCTTGGTAGGCTGTGATCTGAGATTTGTGGTTCAAAGCCAACCCAGACAGGAAAGTCATGAGACTTTTATCTTCAATTAACCACCCAAAAGCAGGAAGTAGAGCTGTGGGTCAAGTGATACAGCACTAACCTTTAGCACAAAAGCTTAGAAAGCATGCCCAGGCCCTGAGTTCAAGCCACAGAACTAGCTCTAAATATACATTTATATATATATATATATATATATATATACATATGTATATATGTATATATAAACACGATTTCTTTTCATGAAAATACTTTGTGACACATAAAAAGAGATGGGCTCTTGTCAAACATGCTGATGAGGCTGCAGATGACAGTTTACCTATTGTTCTCAGTTTAATCTTTGTTCTCTGCAGGGGCTGGCATAGTCAGAGCGCTCTTGGGCTGTAAGGTATTGCTCGCCAGCCACCACAGTGAGTTTGGTGAAAGTGACAGTGACAGAATGACTTAGTCGTCCCCCCTCCCACCCCTGTGTTTGCAAGGCTTGTTCCCAGGAGCAGCGCCCTCAGCTTTGGGGTGCTGAGTGGATTTCAGTAGTCCACCTCCCTTTCTCAGCAATCAGAGACTCATTCGTTGCATCCATGCAAAGAAACTCTGCAAATACCACTTCCAAATATAGGCGTCTCTTGCCACCAGAGGCTGACCTGGTGTCTTCCTTGGCCCACACTCTGCCTCCAGCCCCCCTCCTCGTTCCCCCACCCCGCATCCGCTGCGCCCCACATCTGGAAGGAGCCTGGCCCTTGGGAGGGGACAGAAATCCAGCTTCGGACATCTAGGCCTGGGGGAGCACGACTCTTGCTGGCAAAACTACACAAGTGAAATTACGTTTCTCGACAAGACTTTTAGAACACTTCAATTTTTTTTTTTCTGTCTACCGAAATCTCTACAAACCAGCCGATGTTGAACCAGAATAATTCAGGCTGACAACAGATTCTTCCTCTGTGCTCAGCTGTCCCAGGGGGAGGAGCTGAAATCCGAAGCTCTCGGCTGTGATTGGATCCTTCTTGCAAAAGAGAGGAGGAAAAAAAAAAAACCCTCCGAGCCCAAAGGAGGCTCAGTTGGGTAAAGGAACCGGGTGACTTCAGAGGCGCCGGCCCGTCCGCTGCCGCTCCGAGCGCGGCCCTCGCCCGCCCTCGCCCGCCCTCGCCCGCCCCGCAGCCGGCCGCGATGCTGTAGGGACCGGCCACGTCCTCCCGCCGGACCGTTATCCGCGCCGGCGCCCGCCGCACCCGCCCGCAAGATGCCGCGCTCCTTCCTGGTCAAGAAGCATTTCAACGCCTCCAAGAAGCCCAACTACAGCGAACTGGACACACACACCGGTAAAACCCAACGGCTGTTCTCAGTCTCCCTCTCTCTCCTCTCTCTCTCCTCTCTCTCTCTCTCTCTCTCTCTCTCTCTCTCTCTCTTCCTCCCTCCCTCCTTCTCTCCCTCTCCCTCCCTCCCTCATTCTCTCTTCTCTCCTCTCTCTCTTTCTCTGCAAATCTGAATGTATGTATCACGACTTCAGTGCTATTACCGAAGAACAAATGATCAAGCTGGGTATTCTTAGAAACACTATTCTGAAAGGGAGTTTGTGTTCTCTGGATCACTTGGGGTACGTTTTAATTCAAAACTTGTGGAGCTCTTCGCTGACAAGGGAGACTTCCTTCAACTCTGGTAACTTGGTTTTCTCAAGCTTGTACGTACACGCATAATGAATGTGCGGAAGACTAACACATAAATGCTGAACTATTGCTTTTTTTCATGTAACATTTTCCTTTCCTTTCCGAGGCAACTTGATTCAGCCAGACCCGTTGAAACACATGTAAACTAGCCCATGCATCAAATACAAAACAACTGTTTTCCTCTGAATGTTGGAAAATAAGGCTTAGTTTCTCCCTTCTCAGAGGGGCTGCTTGGCTGTATTCCCTCAGTACAGACCTTGGGTAGCTCAGGACAACTGTCACACTGTGAGTGCATTAAATAGGATAACTATCCAGAGAGCAGGATGACAGGAAATGCTTTACCAATGCGTATGTCCTTCTAAGGGAGTCTGGTCTTTACAAAACTCTGTGTGTTGCTTTCTCACTTGTATTTTTAAAAATTATTTCACCTTAATCTTTCTTTTCCTTTCTTCTTCCCCCCTCCCCCAGTGATCATTTCTCCATATCTCTATGAGAGTTACCCTATGCCTGTCATACCAAAGCCAGAGATCCTCAGCTCAGGGGCGTACAGCCCCATTACAGTGTGGACTACAACAGCTCCGTTCCACTCTCCTCTTGCCGGATTCCCCTCAGCCCTGGGGCGAATGAGCCCCCCTCCTCCTTCCGACACCTCATCCAAGGACCACAGTGGTTCGGAAAGCCCCATTAGCGATGAAGAGGAAAGACTACAATCCAAGCTCTCAGACCCCCATGCCATTGAAGCGGAGAAGTTTCAGTGCAATTTATGCAATAAGACCTATTCCACTTTTTCCGGGCTAGCTAAACACAAGCAGCTGCACTGCGATGCCCAGTCTAGGAAATCTTTCAGCTGCAAATACTGTGACAAGGAATATGTGAGCCTGGGCGCCCTGAAGATGCACATTCGGACCCACACGTTACCTTGCGTCTGCAAGATCTGCGGCAAGGCCTTCTCCAGACCCTGGCTGCTTCAAGGACACATTAGAACTCACACTGGTAAGAGAACATGTGGACAGGAATGTGGCTGCCCTCTCTAACGATGCATGGGGTGGATTGCTGGCCTTGTATGAAGTGGTGGCATAGTTCTTTTTGGGGGGACAGTTCATCAAGGAGGGCCACTTTCTGACTACTCAAAAACTTGTCAGTGCTCGATTTCTTGCTAATCACCTCTGCTCCGGAGACTGCAAATAGCATTTAGACTTTGGAAAGTAGATTCTGGTGGTTTGGTCTCAAAGATCAGGTAGAAAAATCAGGATGGGTGTACTTCAATGTGTGCTCTGTGAAACTGACCCTAGTAATCAGGAAAAACAAATGTTGCTATCTTAGTCAATTGATTTGGTAAATAGAGGCTTTTCCTATAGTTTTCTGTTACTACCCATTCTGGCAGTGAGATCTGTTAGAGAGTTGGATAGTTGGAAGTAAGTTTGATTTGTGTCTTTTCTTTCGTTTTCTTAAAAAAAAAAAAAAAAACTTCGCACATCATCCTGCCGGAGGGAAGGAATTTCAGCTGCCTGAGTCAGAATACAGAAAGAGGGGAAAGGGGGAAACATTGGGAAATGTTGGGAGGTGCCTGCCATCAACTGCACCTGCTAATGTAAAGCCTTACTAGGAGAAAGTCCCACAACTCTGTGAATTATTTCTGCACAACTGGCAGCACACATGCCATTCTGGCCAAGATTTATTTTTAGCTGCAGAATTTATCTTAAAGGGCCAGATGTTAATAAAAGCACCTATTGTGGGGATATAGTCAGGCCTTGTCATTTTTCATTCTTTCCTTTTTAAGATTTTTTTCATTTCTATTATCTTTACACTTCTCATTCTTTTCGCAAGATGTGATTGGTGTTCATTAACATTATTCAAATTTATATTTTCTCTGAAAGTGCTGACTTGCCTTTTTATTTTTTCTCACTCCCTAGGGGAGAAGCCTTTTTCTTGCCCTCACTGCAACAGAGCATTTGCAGACAGGTCGAACCTGAGGGCTCATCTGCAGACCCATTCTGACGTAAAGAAATACCAGTGCAAAAACTGCTCCAAAACCTTCTCCAGAATGTCTCTTCTGCACAAACACGAGGAATCTGGCTGCTGCGTAGCTCATTGATGCAACCAATGTTTACTCAAACAAATGCATTTCTTCACTCCGACACCAAATGACAAATAAAGTCCAAAGGCATTTTCTCTTGTGCTTACCAACCAAATAATATGTATAGACACACACATACACATGCATGTGTGTGCACTCACATACATGTGCACATACACAAGCTGCAAGAGCACGGAACCCATGTGTTGAAAGATAATCCTTTCCATGTGAAGTTGAAAATTACTATCTTTTTTTGCTGACAGCTAGATTGAGAAGATAAAAGACAAGAACCTTTCTCTTCAAAGATGAAGTGAAAAGCACATTGCATCTTTCCTTACGGAAAAAGAATGCAAAGATTTACATTGCTGCCAAAACATTTCAACTGAAAAGAACAGTATTGCTTTGTAATAGAGTTTGTAATAGAATTTCCTATAGGAAGAGACTCTGCCAGACGCGATCTCAGGTGCCTTATAAAGTATTCCAAGTTTACTTCATTACTTGTCTGATGTCTGGTTTGCCATCATTGAATTAAAGCCTTTTTTTTTATTACTTATAATGCTTTAAACTGTATTTTTAAGAGAGGAAAAAAATAAGAACAAGAAAAAAACACAAGAGAATGTATTAAAAGTATTTTTGTTTTGTTTATTTTTGCCAATATGTGCCTTGGGAGAAGAGGGAAGGACCGGTTTGGGAGATTCCTGGTACATGCGCCATGTCTTACTTTGTAAAAGAATTGTAATGATTTTTATAAAATTCAGTAAAGATGGGAATAAGTGCAAGAGGATTCTGAGACATTCAGTAATGTACCAAAACTATTTTAAATGCGTATGACAGATGCAATAATACAACACCCCTCCAAGTGCCTGTTTTAATTAACTGTGTAGTTGATGAGTCAATGTAAATTTGTGTTTATTTTTATATGACTGAATGAGTTTTGTATGAAAGTAAGATGTTGTCTATAGCTGTGTCTATATACAACTTGGAGACTTGTGAAATCAATGTTCCTTTTTTTAAGAAAAATAATTTTTCAAGGTCCTTTTTTTACAATAAACATTTTTTGATTTAAAATAGTATATTTTCAGAGACTTTATTGGTTTGTTATTGGTAACAAATGAGATACAAAGAATCATTTCTTGTGTTAATAAGAGAAAAAGTAAATTATGCGTGTTATACCTGTCAACTGTTATTTTACGTGTTAGGTTATGGTAAATTGACATCTGTTCTTCTTCCTTTTAAGGTAACACTAATATTCAGAAAAGACAATGATAGTTGTTTAGCATATCCTTTTAACAAAAATCATACTTTCACCTTATTAGTAGTCAAAAATGCTTTTCAAAATTTTATATGACTTTATGGCTTGAACTCAGAGCCTTGTGCTCTTGCTTAGCTTTTTCACACAAGGTTGGTGCTCTACCACTTGGGTCACACCACAACTTCCTTCTATGACTTTATGAAAGCAAGTTCTGGTCACCTGTGTGATCTTCAATTGTTTGCATAAACTATGGGGCAACACAGGTAATCATAATTTGCTTTCATAGATTTAAGATTCATAACAGAAATATTGATGAGTTGTACAAGGAAAAAGTAGAAAGTATACATGAAAAACTTGGGAAAAATAATTTGTCATAAATTAGTTGGAAAATTAAATCATATAAACAAAATCCCACATGAAGTGGTATACATAAATGGTATGTTTAAGGGGATCAGGATTAAATAGTCCAAAGGGAAAAGTTCCTTTTATAGTACTTGAACAAATTGAGTCAATCTCTCTACCCACACAATATATTTACTTGACCATGTTCTACATCCTCAGGTTCATGTTTAATAAATGCATGTGTGCTAGATAAAGGACAACTCCTAATCATAATTGGAACTTTAATAATTACCAGAACGGATACTTGAATCCAAACTTCAAGCTCATTATGACAAAAGTTCCTGCTACATTTTTTTGCTTCTATTATAACTCTCTATTAGAATTACAACTTGCAGAATCTTTCTTTTAGTGTTCTTGTGACACAAACAGAAGGAGGAAATTAGTGTTAGACACACTAGTAAATAACCAATAATAAATGCCAATAATAGTCTCCTTGTGCTCACATTCATTCTACTTGCTACACTTGTATTTGTAAGCCAATATATATATATATATATATATATATAAGGATTGTGTACTTTATTTTTAAAAATAAAGAGAATAAGAGAAATAAGAGAAACAATTGAGCTTTAAGGGTATGCAAGATAGATTAATTGCCTGCAAGCATCTGAAAGTCTCCAGGCCAGAAGACATGTACAAGCATCTTGGAAAGGGAAAATGTGAATGTGCTGGGCACCATTGACTCTTCTGGTTGGCACCCCAAGAACCACATCTCCTCCTATTCTTCCTTTTCATTTGTAGATCTAATGACAAAATTCCTTAGTGTCCAAAACTTAAGCAGCTAATTATCTAAAGAGAAAAGTCCTGCTCATTGGTCTAATTTCTTTGTGAAGATATAGGAATATTTTGTGATATATTGTATTTTTCACTATTCCAATTATATTCTTAATTTACAGTTTCATCAAGATATATATACACTGAGATATATGAGATAGTATGGTATAAATATTTACTTGAGTAATATATATATATATATATATATATATATATATATATATATATTGTGGGGGGGGGTCCAGTCGTGGGGCCTGAACTCTGGGCCTGGGCGCTGTCCCTCAGCTCTTCAGCTCAAGGCTAGTGCTCTACCACTTGAGCCACAGCGCCACTTCTGGCTTTTTTATTTTTGCTTATGTGGTGCTGAGGAATAGAACCCAGAGCCTCATACAAGCAAGGCAAGTGATCTACCACTGAGCCACCTTCTCAGACCCATATTTTTTTTAAATTCTTACCATTTTGTTTAATAGATACAGGTTCAAGTACAATACCTAAGTCCTGGCTCCAAAGTAACTTATTTTGAAATACTGTTTCCAGCTCATTACTTTTGTGATTATGTCTATTACATCATTTTGACATTTGCATTGCTTTCTTTACTAGTCAAAGTATCCTTCAGCAGAAATTCTCTGTACTCAGCACATTGCCAGCATAGTATATCAATATTTGTTGAATGAATCACTTGATAAAATAATAAAAAAGATAAGAAAATCTCACAGATCAAAAGGAAATTCAATGTATCTCCCCTTTGAGAATTTCCAAGAGATCCTCCAGGAAAATGTACTGGTGTGTCCCCTCAAATAGCTTCAATGCCCAAGAACTGAGAAAGGTGCACATGCAGGGCTCGATTATGAAAGCCAAAAATTTTAACAAAAATATATATGAGCCGGGTGCCAGTGGCTCACGCCTGTAACCCTAGCTACTCAGAAGGCTGAGATCTGTGCCAGCCCAGGCAGGAAAAGTCCGTGAGACTCCAATAAACCACTCAGAAAACTGGAAGTGGCGCTGTGGCTCAAGTGGTAGAGCGCTAGCCTTGAGCTGAAGAGCTGAGAGACAGCACCCAAGCCCAGAGTTCAAGCCCCATGACCAACAAAAAAATCAAAAAAATAAAATATGTATGTACATAAATGCTTTCAATTGACTTTTTTGTTTCATGAGGTAGGAAGCAGTGTGGAACAACAAGAAGAGTACAAGCTGCTTGTGGGTTGGGGCATCCTGGGATTTGAACTAAGACACTACTCTACCACTTGAACTGTGCTTTCAGCCCTTTTTAAATTAGTTAATATTTTTCTAGCAAAATCTTGTACTTTCACTGGGGCTGGCCTCTGACCATGATTCTTCTACTTCTGCCTCCTGCTGTACAGCTGGATATACAAACAAGCCAGCACACCTAGCTTGTTCTGGGCAAAACATCCTCACTGACATTTTACCCATCCAAATGCAATATTTATATTTATTGAATCAATCACAACTCCTCACCATTTTCCCACTTCAGGTCTTTTTGCAAGTTACTAACTGCCTCAGTTTCCTAAAGTGATAATAGGAAGACTATCCTTGTCACAAGAGCCCATTGCACTGAGCCTTATAAATCATAACTGTGAGTTCTACCTGTTATTAAATGCTTCATCTGTGCTTACCCTTACACTAGGAAACACATTCATATCTACACAGCACTTGCCTGCCATCTGCAATGCTAACAGTATCTGTTTAACCCTGCATTTCACCCTTACACTTCTTACCTTTACTTTGGAGGTAGGCACATAGTAAAGACGCAGACAAATTGCAAAATGGAAATTCAAAGAGGCTTTTCTGTGCTCCTCCGGTGACACCACAGGAACAGGAGGCTAAGAAAGAGATTTACTGGAAAGGACAATGAAAACTGTGATGTCAAATACCTGAACAGCACTATCATACTTATGCACTATCATAATTTAGAAAATGTGCAGGGACACCAACAATCTTTAGAGCCAAATCTTTTTTTTTAGTCAGTACTGGGACTTGAACTCAGGCCTTTCACCCTTACTTGACGTTTTCACTCAGATGCAGCACTCTACTACTTGAGCCACAGCTCCAATTCTGGCTTTTTGCTAGTTAATTGGAGGTCAAGAGTCTTACAGGCTTTTCTGCCTAGGCTGACTTCAAACGGTGATCCTCAGATCTCAGCCTTCTGAGTGGGCAGGGTTACAAGTCTGAACCTCAATTTCTTTTAGGACTGCCCTGCCTCTGTTCCCCTCTTCCTGGACCCTCAGAGCTAGGACACGCCTCCTCGGCGTGGCTCAGTGCCCCTGAGCTCTCCTCCTGCTGGAGTACATTTCCTCTCCTCTGTTCTCTGTGGAGATGAAAAGCAGCTGGCGTTCATCCTCGGTACATTAATGCTTCATCTTCTGAAGGCCGCTGTGACTCCCGCACACACCCACACTCCTCACCGGCTTTTATCTTCCTAGGCTCAACGGGCCTCTAAGCAAAACAGCCATTTCTTCCCCCACTAAAATGTAGACACTCTGGTGTAATGAGGCCATTATAATTTTAAAAACTATACGGCTTTCCTGGATAAAAGCCATATCTTTAGGAGTTGTCCCTCGTTTTGATATAGGAAATAATTTGTGGAAAAAAATAATTTTCAAATGAGTACTCTGACATGGAAGGACCCAGCCATTTCTCGAGGAAGATGTTTTTCTCTTGTTCTTGCGTTCTGAGCACAGCCTGGGGAGGGGGGGGAGGAGCGGGAAATTAAAGCATTTTCTTTGCCTGAGAGGTTTACATGTGGAAGTGGAACCGGGGGTAGCGAACTCTGAAGCTTAATTTGTAGCCATAGTAAATATGGCCACCTGGAACTCCAGGAGTGAATGGGTGGCGATAGATGGGTTTAGGCCCTTAGCCCTGGCAGGAAGTAATCTCTACTCTGTAAGAAACACAGCATGTGAAGACCAGCAAGCATGGCAGCCTTTCCTCTGTGGCATCAGGCCAGACCCCCAAACAATGAGAGATTAGCAGAGGAAATGGCAGCATATCCATGTCCGCACACTCCAAAGGGGCTGGGGAAGTATTTATAGCAATGAGTAGGCGAGTTGCTGTGACTAAAAGATGAGGGGGGGGGAGCAGGGAGGGTGTTTGCATGACTTGAACCACTTCATTTAATTAAACTGCTCAAGTTATAACAGCTTAATCCATTCAGACCGTTCTTCTGGCATTCTGTAGATAGTTGTGAGGCCTTTTGAATGATCACTAAGTGGTTTTCAGAGACAATGGCTATGAAATAAAACCCAGACCTGTCACTTACCCATTTCAATAGTTAGGATAATGAAAAGGACATGATGTCCAGCACCACTTTATCCTGGAGCTTGAATCCAGTGCCCAAGAGGTCAGGAGTAGCAGTTAATGTGCCACTACTGTCTTGATGCTGCCCCTTAGTTTTATCACTCAAGGCTAGTGTTCTACTACTTAAGTGACGGTTCCACTTCCTGCTTTTTTCATGGCTAGAGATTAGAGTCTCATGAACTTTTCTGCCTGTGCTGGCTTTGACCCTCAACCCTCAGATCTCAGCCTCCTAAGCAACTAGGATTACAGATGTGAGCCACCCAGTTAACATCCAGTTTAACTTAGTTAGCTCAGATAAACTGGATGTTATAAACTTAGCTTTTGG